AGTGATTTATTTTGGGCCGAGGTAGGCCTTCAAAGTTGGCTTTCTTTGCGTTGTTTATGCAGTTGCAGAGGATTTTCGGTAGTTTAATAGATAACAACTTTGATATGCCTTGCTTTTGTTCAACCCAGCTGAAAATGCTGCTCCCTTTTAGAAGATAAAAAGTGGAAATTGGTGAAGTTATTTTGTTGTGCAAACACAAAAAAATGAGTTGCCTAAGTGCCTTCTGTCTTATTTGCCAGCGTTGAGGGAAAGCATGAAATGACTACTTAAGTATTACTGAATAAGCGTTATTGAACGGCGGTGGGTGGAGGGTCGGTTCAGCCCACCTCTTCCCCTTCCGTCTTTGATTTGCTCATAAGTGACACATTTCACCTGTAGACTCCATCTGATGGCATCTTTTCGTTTCTCCCTTTCTTTCAATTGTTTCTAAATCAAAACTAATTGGGCAGAAATAAACTTCAACCTGGAAAAATATTTTAACGTAGTACTCATCAATCTAAGGCACCTTGGCGCAGTACTCGATGATGAATGGAAGAAGTTGCCTCTTGATATAAAAAATGTGGAAGAATCCAGAAAAGTGAAGTGCTATGGTCCATTCCAAGAGCAAAACAAGTTATGACACTTAATTCCAATGTACAGAAGGGCTGGAGGACTACCAGCATGGATTCGATGCTGAAGGCTGGACTGTTCGCTCAACAGAAGGGAAAAGTTAAAATGAAAGAGTCACGCACCCCCTTCCCACCTCCTACGGTTGAGATTGTCGTATCCAGAGCTACTCACGTTCAACTTTCCCCATAGGCGTTGTGCGGAGGCATTCACAAATAAGAAGTGTCAGCCAACAACTTTACGTCAAGCTTGAAAGGAATTAGACTGAAATTCCGTTGATCTCTCCTGTCACTTTTGATGAGTCTAAATTAAGCCACAAATTGGGGGTTGGAAAAATGTCCCAGCCAAAACACACGTCCCTCCTCAGTGGTAGCAGCACTGATGTGACAGTACAGTTAGCAAAATCATAAAGGCCAATTTTAACTTGGCCAATTTTTTTCCTCCTATGTGCTGTCCAACCACGGCCTCCTGAGTGCTTCATATTTGGGAGAGAAGGGAAGGAGGTGTCACCACAACCCATTTGGTGTGAATTTACGACTGATGTCACTGCATCTATAAACGGCTTCCCTAAGGGGCGAGTGTGGTTGAAGTGGACGTCAGTGCCACTAATACATTGTCAACGCTTCAGTTTGGAGTCTTCACGGTCTCTTCTTCTTCTTCTTCCTCTTTCAGGAGCAGCTGCACTTGGGCATGGGACCCGCTTCCGACTCCCTTTGATGCAGAGTCCGGACAGAGGACGACTTGCTAACCTCGAGAATACGTGTGGACCACTGACATACAGCATAGAAGGCGGAGCGCCTGAGCACAAATGCTGTTTGCCCTCAATACATGCAAGCAGTGCAGTTTAGCAATCCCTTGCTCCGGTCGTTCATCTTTTTCGAAGAAGTTCGATAGTTTACTATTTTTAATTGTCATTGTACACCTATTCAAATCGAGGTATTTTTACACCTCGTACAACCCTAGACTATTCCCAATGACACGAGTAATTGAGGCCAATTTTAAGCGCACGTCTATTTCCCCTTATTCCATCGAACCTCCGGTCACATGCAAATGCCCACTTGGAAGGAAGAGGGAGGCAATTAACCGCCGTCAGAGATGCTGTTTTTAGCTAACAGTGTTGACGAACTCGTGTGAGGACTGGTTGACTTTCTCGCACCTTATGGAATGCGTTTACGTGGTAAGAGCAGAAGAGCAAGTCTGTGCATGTCTGTGCGAAAGGAGGACGCTTAACAAAAATATCCCTCTTGTCATGCTTTGTTGTCAATAAAGCATTGTCCAGAGGTCGACGGTCAATATACTTACACGAAAATCTGTCACTGTTAAATAAAGTTAATTTTAAAATTTCTGGGATGTCAAGTTTTGTGTGGATTTCCTTGTCATGCTGACTTTGTTGGAATGCGCGGCTTTTGATATGTGAAGTGAGGCCGATGATGAGTCGACAAGAGTTTTAAAAGAATAGAAGTTATGTAAACATTCAAGACTGACGACTATTTGGTTCCCCGTTTGTTGTCTAGTAAACAGACTGGTATACTCGATGGTTTGCTGGGACGACTTCAATAGGCCTCGTACAACAGCTGACACATCGCTCCTTCCTAGTGCTCACAGGAGATGAAACAACTTCACTCCGATTTTGGCAGACAGTAGAGGCAATGAGACGAGACCGAATCGGTGAGGTCTTCAGTGTTTCAGTATTTTTGAATGCTAGAGTGTTTTAAAGGGGACATTACCACTTTCCAAGACCTTTTGGATCTGGTGGGCGCAAAACGACAATCAAACCTCTCAACAATAAGGAACAACTGAGATACAGAATGGTCTTCCTAGGAAGATACACAACCAAAATTTCTGAGTTGCAAGTCCCGACTGGAGTAAGCTTCTCCGACTTCAAGATGCTCATACTTCGTGAGATTAATACACAGTGTTCCAAATGCACATCATCAACTCAAACGTAAGATTGATGCGGACACACAATCGAGGTACCACCTCTCAAACACAGATTCAGCGTCTCACGGTGGTCCCAAAACTGAACTCCTTTCTTCCCTCAAGGAATGTGGCGCAAAATGTTGAAGATCTCGTGCATTAGGCAAGGCTGTAGTAAAGCATTTTTCCTCTGAAAAAAAAGTGCTGGAGAAGTGTTTACCCTTTGAGGAAAAGCTTAACATAAGTAGATTTCTATCAGTACAGCTGTGTTAAGTCATCTGACAGTCCTGTGCCTTAGGGGTAAATCATTCTGCTCTGCCCGGAGGGACACCCAGGATCCACCTTCTTATAGAAGGCCTACATGAGGGAATCGTCACCTGTGTCTTGTAGACCACTTTTTGCCTTAAAATCCTCTCACAATCTAAGTACTTTGTGTTGTGATTTTGCATTGCATCACTTTTGGGATGCGATTTTATGGAACTAACACTTTGCATCCTTCCTCCTAGTGGCATTAAATCAAGTGGACTTTGGAGGGGCTTTTACACTTGCTTGTCCTCCATTCGCCATGGCAAGCCAGCGTTTCTTATTGGGCATTTGCTGCCCAAAAGTACATCGATAGATCCGGCTAGAATCCAGGCCTATCCCGGATTTTAGTCGCCTTTGTAGATTAATTTTGGCACGTGGCCTAGGCAGTCTTTCCCATCACTAAAGCAACTGTGACATGTTGATGTGGGAGTAGTTATAACTCCGACCGCTTACAGAACCCGGTAGTGCTTTGCAGGAAGGTGGTGGCAATACCCGAGGGGTCACGACCGCAAAAGTAAACTCGCGTGCTGATTGGCCGCGTGTTCAGAGAGGCAAAAAACGCACACACAGACGAAATGCGCATTCCCGGTCACGTAGACAGGCAGTAACTTTGATGGGGCAAACTTGCGTTCTATGCAGTAAAATATCCAACACACATTTTTGCTGGTAATCATTGGACGAGTTTATGATTTGAAGGAAAGGGGAAAAACCACCAGACAGCAACATTTGTCTTAAGAGGAATTTGTTAAGCAAAGGATTATATTTTCGGCTCAAATTCTTTGTGATTGATGTTGATTAACCATCTCTATCAAGGTTCGGAATTAAGATGGGAAAATAAACTAGGGCTAGGTGATTTGTACTTTTGCTTCTAACGTGGATACCCCTTCCAACTTGCTCTGACATTGACCTCCAGAGGCAGCACTAAGATGACCTTAATAATAGTAGTAACAGGTTCCCAATGTTTTCAAAGGTAAAATGTAGAGATGGCAAAGAATGGGGAAGTCTAAATCTCCAAATTGTGTCTCCTCAAGAGTTGCTGCAGCAGCCGTTGACATTGGGGTCTGAATGTTCTACCATAACGGCACCTGACACCCTTCGCTAACTTTGTTCGATATAAATTGGGATGAAAGTAGACACGATTGAGAGACTATGAGAATTACAAAAGTTTGGCAATGCGATTCTTTTAACATTACCCCAAAACATTAAAAAGAACTAATTCACTCCTGAAATGAAGCATGCATTCTTCAAAGCTTTGGCATGACAAACTACATCTGCAGCCCCTAACAGCAGATTGGCATTTTTGGAATCTGTTGATGCACGAATTAGCATTGCTTTAACAACTTGTTTTCCATTCGAACCTAAAGCAGCACCGGTCCCTTAGTTCATTTTTTTTTTGTAATTTTAACGAATAATGTAGACACCACCCACTCTTGAGGTGGATGCACGGACCCCACACATCAAGTAGACTGCGCTTTATTTGCTCACCAGTAGCAACTGATGTTTATCAATTTCCTCAGTGTTGAAGCAAAGTTTTTCAACATATTTTCTAATTTTTAAGGATCTACTTATGGGGCACTGGGTCTGATGGACAGCACAAGCAAGTGGACCCATTGTTTACTTTAAGTCGAAAAATTAGCACATAAATCTTCCCAAATCTGGAGAATGGGTGTAAAATCAGTGCTTGCTTTCTAAAAGAGTCCCAAGAGATGCATCCAGGAACTATGTCTCCATCTAGCTCCACTTACTGTGATTGTAGCAATAAATTTAGTGGATTAAAGGCGCTCCTACCACCTCTAGCAAATATGAGAAAATTCTACTAGCCATTTCGTAGCTTAGCTTTAGTCAGTTTCTATCTTCTTCTCTCCAATGCATTTGAGCAAGTGTGCTAGAGAAGCTACATCTTTTCGCCTGCGAAACTTCCTAGTAGGTGGCCTGTGGCTAGGCGCGCCCACCCTGAGGAGTGAAAAGTAGCAAAGGAGTGGTAAAGCATAGAAGGCATTGTATTCAACAAACAACGAACAAAAAGAAACGTCGAGATCGAAAACGATAGAGAGGAAGACAACAATATAAGCTAGTAATCGAGTTGAAATTCGAAAGGAAGAGGCTACTCCAATGCTGTAGCTGGAACTAAAGTGCCTTCATAGAGATCGCAGACTCGAATTGACGTGCTTTCACCATTTGATACTAGCAGTGGTTTCAAGCAAAGTCTTTGCACTATTGTGCAGCTTGGCTTTCTCGCTGTCGGTGAGGGTCATATTCACCACTGAAGTAACTCCGCTGGAGTTTACCACGCAGGGCATGCTCAAAAAGACATCTCCCTCAATGCCGTAGAGGCCCTGATTGTAAAATTAAAAAATAGGGATGATTCAATGCTCCCTCACCTCACTTTGAGTAATATGCTGAAGGGATGATAGTTCTCATAAATAACCTTAAGTTTTGTTTTTTAAACATAATTTATGAATGGATTAGGCTTCCAAATCAGTAACTCAGGGGTGGGTCTAACTAATCCGTTACTAATCGCCTCAAAAAATAGCTTTATCTCCAAACCCACACGTGGTACCTAATTCAATTGAAACAAATTGTGTAAAGCCTTCATTTTTTATTCTAAGACTAACTGTGTTATTCTGATCTACAAAAGCAACAAAGGTGTGTGTTACGCTCTTAAATTAATGACTCCGATAAACCTAATCATGTTTTGAGAACAACTTTTTTTGTCTTTTTGGCATTAAGGTAACTTGTATGAAAATGTTTGGTAACCCACTAACGTACTCGTAAACGAACGGATAAAGTGCTTAGCAAGAAAAAAGAATTACCGAAACATTCGTAGTCACTGGAATCACGACATTACGATCGCTGAGAAGGGCTCCACAGAGGTTAGCACAACAGAGTCCAATAGCCCATGATGTGTAACCCTTCAGACGGATTATCTCATACGCACTGAAGAGGGAGTGGAGGGTTTGACTCAAGCCCACAACGAAATACTAGAACTTAAAATTCTTAACCAACAAACCTATCAATGACATCTTTGTGAACAGCCTTAAAGTTATTAGGATCATCATCTTCGCCAAACTTGGGATAAACCGTGCTCAAGTTAACACCGCCAACAGAGACACGACTCCAAACAGCAACTAATACAAAAAAGCAAGATTTAGTAATTGCATTATTAAGTGCCGCTAGTAATCGCTAAAATAACTTACCACTAGAATCACCATGCTCGCCAATGATGTAGCCATGAATAGAACTGGCAGCCAAATCCAGCTTCTGTCCAAGCATATGCCTAAATCTAGCCGAATCCAAAATGGTTCCTGAACCAATAACCCGATTTCTTGGCAGTCCACTCAGTTTCCAGGTGACGTAGGTGAGAATATCAACTAAACAAATCAAAATAATGTTATTCATGGAATATACCACGTCATACCTGGATTTGAAACGACCACGATGATACAATCAGGGCTGTATTTCACCACCTCAGGTACAATTGCTGAAGGGAATATGTTAGTCGCGTGTAGCGAGAAGTACAGCATTGCACAAACATTTAAAACTTACTCTTGTATATATCAACATTCCTTTGGACCAAGTTGAGTCTTGATTCTCCCACAATCTGCCTTGCACCAGCAGCAATAAAAACGACATCAGAATGACTTGTGTAACTATAATCTAACGAGGTAAGCACTATGTGAACAATAGTACCTTTGCCACCTACAACATTGCAAGTGTGCAAAAACTGTGACCCATGTTGCATATCCAACACTTCACCTTTAACCTTATCCTCGTTAAAATCAACGAGAGCTAAAATGTTTGCAAGACCCTAGATTGGTTTCAACCAACACTGCGGTACGTACCTTGGTCATAATCGAAAATCCAATAGCCATTCCAACGGATCCAACGCCAATAATAGACACCTTTGTTTTTGGCTTGGAATGCACATGTGGGGCCAGTGGGACAAGGATAGCGTGCTCAGCCATTATGAAACAGTGATGGGAGCCAAATGACCACAAAATTTAATACCGTTCAGCTTTCAAGGACATATTGAGGTTAATAAAATTATCCGCTTAAACAAAAAATATATTTTTTGTTTTTAATATCTTTGTTGTTCGTAAAGTCTATGGCACAAGATATGCATTATATAACTTTGCAAATCAATCCAATATTCAAAAAGATGAAGGAAACATAGGGATCTGAGATGGTCTAAGGACCAGCCCCGACCTACGAGAACAAAACGAATTCCAAAGTGATCGCCAGACATCAGCCCAACCTAAGCTTTTCTTTACTTACTGGGAAGTCTTAGGACGCTGCGAAATTCATGCATCTTTTAATTTGGAAGTAACTTTTACTTTGAGTGCCTTTAATTCCGGCAATGTAACATACAACGCTGTAGTTCGACCTTGTTGGAGAACAATTGCAATTTTAGACATACAGACCTTTGTGTAAAAGCGTGCACTTTGGCTGTCAAATTGCAAGAAAATCGAGTAAAACCTCAAGACTCTGCGGAACTTTTTTGCATTTTTCCATCGTTGACATGCCTCGTGACTACCTTGCTTTGTATACACCCTAAGGCAACTAAATTTCCGACCACCTGTAGAAATATCAGAAGTCATTATGATACTTTGCTTTTTGACTGTCTGCATGCTTTTCCCTCCTAAACACAAGCACTTGGCCAAGCCTTTTGAGCTCTACAGTCATTGACACCAATCGATGGTGACGCCTTCAGCATAACAAAGGTCGTCATCCAGTTATCATTAGTTACAAAGGGCAAAGCTTTCCGTATCAAGAATTACCAAAGCTTGACATCCATAGTGAGGGAGTTCCTTGAATCACATTCGTGAGCAAAGGAGTCTCCTCCTACTCCTGCGTACAACGTACGCTCCATCACTCCAGCAATGATGGATGAGAACTGCGGCTACATCAATTCCTACCGTCCAACCAGCACCAAACATCACCGTAACAGTAATTTAAACCCTACATTGGACTCCCTTGACCGCATCCAACAGCTAATGCAATATATGCAAACATTAGAGGCCTGCTCTGCTAAATTGTTCTTCCTCCCACTTTGCTTAACACAAATGAAGAGCACCCAAGCAGAGTACAAGGATATTGGACAACATTATGATTTCCGATCATTTATTTTAGCATATATTGTTACCTTGGCGTCGCTCTCTTCAGTTTCCTTCCTGGCAGAGTTCCCAAGGGTACGCCGTCTGCAAGATGCCTTATTAGGCATAGAGGAAAATATAGGGGCTGAAGTACGAAGGAACCAAGAGGGAGACGTCCAGTTCTGCTCCAGACCTCAAGTGACGCCCTCTCTGAGAGAATCATATCACGACTTAACTCCGATCGCCGTTTTAATACACATTAATTAAATTATGCTTGGTAGGGAGGGAACGGAAATTCAGCCCAAGTCCAGCCCTTTGCTAAAAGGGAGTTCCAAAGCCGACCCATAGCGATAACGGACCGAATATTTAAATTCGACTATTTGTGGAACTGCGCATAACTTTCGAGATCCACAAAACACGCCGGGAAGCCCTCAGAGTAATGAACAAATAGAGAACGAATTGCACCGTCTAATAAAGGCTTACAAACCCGCAGATTGGGACCAGCACTTGGGATGCACTCTTCTCTCGACAGAGGTTTCATTTTTAAGATGCTCAGAGGTCGCGAAACGAGGGTTCTTTCTGATATCGCTTTCCTTAGCAATGATTAGTTAACAACTAACGCACCTGGGTGTTGTGAAACTAAAGAAGGAGCTACGGAAAGTTCAATTCGGCATAGAAACACATGCGGAGAGCACACACTAGACAGAAAATGTCCTACGGCAGGCAGATCAGAAACAATGTTCACAAGGAATGAGATCTAGGCCAGGTATAAAGCCGATGCCTCCACCAGGAATGCATCGGACTATCTGGTTCGAAATTCACAACTGCGAGGATGAGGTGTGCATGCTGGTATAGGAAAAGGAGCAAGCTTACATACTTGAGTCGAGGACGACGCCCAAAAGAATGGGATCATCCAATACATGTTTATTGCAGAAGTTGTAAAGAGGCAAGAATTCAACACAGGCCCCTTGTAGGAGGTGGGTGTAAACCCTCCCAAGGGTAACGTAAGTACCGCTTTTGCCTATCCAGTTTACTCATCATCCTATACTTTGTAGAGCTACCAAATAAACCTTCTCAGAACAACCCTTCAACCACGAAGACGAGGATAAAGAACCAAGAAAGTAGGGTGAGAGAGAACACAGCCATAAAAGCTTGACTAAACCTGCATCAATCGTGAGTTAAACGATGTTCGTTTGTCTCATTTTCAGCCCCGTCTATGAGAACATGTGGAAATATCTGCTGAACAATGGACGCAAATCCTCTCTCTCGCTACCATTGACGTACATTAGGTGAGAAAGGAGAGTCGCTAAAGGAGCCATGATTACGAGCGCTACTGCAAAGAGAACCGTGGATGTCATCTGCACCTTTCTGCAGATGGAGTCAAATCAATTTTCTCGGAGGTTTGTCGGCAGTTTAATTCGCCTTCTGTGAAATCCACGATCGCTTAAACTTGTGTAGGAGATCAAATCCTAGCACTACATTCCAGGCTGGCTCATGGCATAGCTTAAAGTTCATCATCCTCATTTGTCTTCTGCAGAAAGTGAGCATTTCAGTGGCGCAAATGCCTGCAAGTTCAAATAAGGATCTAGTCGTGCCAGTCAAAAAGAAAACAGCGCAAAAAAGCCTCCTGTTTATTTGGAGACCCGCAAAAAACGCATAATAATCGTATGAATATAGACATTAGTGTGGAAGATAGGACTCACTAAGTTTTACGACTTGACTTAGGGGATGTTTTGATGGGCGATGTTCCGGTAGCCTGTTTGAAGTACTAGAGGTTATCTAAATGGAGGCTTCCGGTGTTTTTCGGGTGCGCAGTCGAAGGTGTCGCAGCCTGATTGCTTACAAAGTGATAAGTTTCTTCGCCATTACAAACCAAGACGTCATCGACGTAGAGAATATATTAAGGGCGCAATTCCTGAAAGCTCGCCCTGCCGAAAATTGGTTCCTAGCAGACTCCCCAGCCGCTATGGACTTCTGGTAGGATTTCAAGAATCCAAAAGCGAGGAACTACCCTTGTTGGCCATCTGAGTCATAAGAGATCACATAATTAACTGCTACGCGGAAAGAATCACGGGTTGAGCAAGCCGGCGTCGGCTTCGTCAGCTTCCCTCTTAGCAAGGCACTCTCAAGTCCGCCATCTGTGGAATGCTTTATTAAGCATAGCCCAAGGTGAACGAGTAGAGGCACCAAAGCCCCTCTACGCCACCTCGACAGCGATATTCAAACTAAGCTCTGTCCTGACCTACAAGATAAATCTAAACAAATGATTCATTTTAAATTTAAGTGGTTGATTAGTTCAATCTGTCAATTTGCATTCCACATTCTAAAGTTGAAATGTTAAAACTTGTACATACCAGTAATATTTTTAACGATGATCCTTTGCATTCCACTTATTACTATATGTAAGGTGAAAGAGTGCCTACCCTAGTAAGCGATTCTATCGGCAACACGTGTCCTAACAAAGTGGTTAAATTTTAATTGCTTTTGTAAACGCTGCCAGTCTAGCCTCTGGCTCTTGAACTACGGACTTCATGGAAAGGTTATTTGCAGTAGATTTATTAGGCATTGAATAGAGGAAGAACGGGGATAGGCGTATAGCTAAGCCGAATAGCAGATGTCAGCCGAAAAGGGATTCCTCACCGTCTTCACACTTAAGATTCACGTTCAAATTTGGTTTCCGCCTCCCTCCTACCAAGGTCAACTTAAACACTAGTATTTATTACAGCTTTAAAACGGCTTTGCTACCAAAGGTGTTTCTCAAACTTAAGTCCTTTTCTTAAAAATGTTCTGAATTTGATGTTGCTTAATTTAAGTTTAGCTGTTCTTCGAAAGCAAGTGTTAAATGTAAGAGCTGTTTCCCTACCCTCCTGCCCTTGAACCTCGGACTTCAAGAAAAGGTTGGTTGCAGACGAGTTATTTGGCATTTGCTACAGGAAGAATGGGGATTGGGATGCAGATGAGCCGAATAGGAGATATCAACTGGAGGGAGACTCATCACCGTCTTCACGCACTTGATTCGCGTTCCAATTGGTTCCCGCCTCTCTCCTATGAAAGTTTACCAAAGCAAATGGTATATGTTACATTAAATACCAAGAGCAAACCATCAGCGACAAAAGCTTTTCAAGTAGTCCCTGCTTGTAGATTGCACCGAGCTTAAAATTTGTCCCCAGTACTTCCATTTAATGTCATAGGGTTCGCGGTTGCCAAGTGCCCTCCAGCTCAATTTAACAGATGTTGTTAAGGCCCGATGGGCTCTCTAGTAATCCATAGACTAACCTTCTAGAGCTTGTCTGTAATGCTTTGTTTATGTGACTGCCCAAGGTACGGCGTTCGCTTTAGAATTTGTCTAGCACTTGTACTTGTGGGCTGGCCTTTGGGTCATGCTCAGGTCCATTTACTCTGTTTTCATCGGAATACATGCATCCAACCCCACTTACTGCCTTCTTAAAACTTATGGGAAGTCTCAGGACACTATACGGCCTGCCTACCTTCATGTCCTCAAACCTCAAACTTCATGAGAGAATAAGTTGAGGAAGCCTTATTCGGCATTGTATAAAGAGTCTTAATGAGGAGCAAGATGAGCCAGAAAGCAGATATCATCCAGAGAAGGTATCTTCACGCCCCTCACGCACTCGGTTTGTGTTTAAATTGGCTTCCTGCAATTCCCCTATAAAGGCAAACCTAAACAGGATCGTGGGCTTTGGCTTCTACTAGAGGAGGCTTGCTCCAAAAACTTTCATTTGGCATTTAGGGAGATTTAGTGACGTTACTGCGAGAAGTCCTCCACGTTAGTCTAGGGAAGATTCTTCACGTTCCTCTAATAGAGGCCGCGTAGTGCTTTGCCGCTCCTCCCCTGCAAGCAAATTTTAACA